GGAGGAGCTGCGGCCGGCGGGGAGGGGCCCCGGGCCCGGCCGCGGCCGGGGCTCAGCGAGCAGGGCCTCGCTTTTTCAGGAGAAGGGACGCTTTGGTGGCGTGGCCATGACGTGCAAAGGCCGGACAGCACCAACACCCCCCCCCCCCCGCCGGCATCCACGCGCCTTTCGCGCGCAAAAGGAGTTTTGGGGGTTTTTGTGTGTAAGAAGGTTGTTCGGTCAGGCAGCGGTGACAGCACAGCACAACCGGGGCGAAGGAAAATCACCCGAGACCGCGGCTGGATTCGCTCCACCGCCTCGCGGCAGGCTTGACCTAAAGCCCGGGACGTTGGTCTAGCCCCGGCCTAGGCCTCGGTGTCCGTAAAGACTTTAACCCAGCCGAAAAAGTGCTAAAACCATCCACCCCTGCGCCACGACGCGGCTGCCAGCACCCACCGGGACCACGGGGGAGCAGGGAAACTCACCCAGTTCCGTACGAAACAGGCGGCGATGTGTGAAGGGCTGCACCGGCTCCGCTCGGGCAGCGGGGTACGGGCAGCGGGGTACGGGCAGCCCACCCCCACTCACAGAGGCCGCAAGCAGCACGTTCACGAGCTAAGTTTTAAATAAGCGGCAGGCCTGAAGCACAGACGTACGAGTTTATTGGGTAAAAAGGAAAGGGAGTGCAGTTGCACACTTCAGTGAGATCGGAAATAAATAGCAACTGTTTAGAGCCAAGCCTTTGAACAGCTGCCGAGGGTCTGGGCGGCCGCACGTACCGGCGGGGGCTGCTGGCTCCGGCAGTGACCCGCTGCGGCAGCGCGCGGCGGCGGGGGGCCTCTCGGAGGGCGCGGGGGGCACGGCCCGAGCTGGCCGTCGTCGCCAGCAGCAGACCCCGCTCAGCCCTTCAGGGAGGACATTCCAGCTCGCATGATCTCATCCACCAAGAGAATGTTGCTGGCGATCACCGTGCTAGAAATATAAAATAAACGCTGTTAGAAGAGCGGGTCTGATGTAGTTCGAAGACAGCTCGGCTTCACTCCCGCTTTTCGAGGCAGCTTCCTCCACGTGGGATCCCCCCATTCCACACCGCCCCAGCAATTTCAACGACCGAACGCCCAGGGCTACGTGAAGTGAGAACACTGAACACCTACCACGAGTGAAGCAGTTGCTTTTTGACGTTGTAATTATCCCAGATTCCAGCCGCCGCAGCCACCATCGGCTCCCCTGCAGAAGCAGCACAAGCCTTTAAGTGACCAGTTCACGTAATTCAAAGGACGACCTTCCACTGCCCGACACCGCTACATCCAACACCGCATCGCCGCGCGCTTTATCTTTGCAAAAACCAGAACGCGTGTAAGCGCCGCGGCAGGCCAAGGCCTCCCGCAGCAGCAGGGCCCCTGCCAGGCCTCCCGCGTAGCTTCCTGTGAAAAAGGAACGGCTCTCTGCATTCAGAGCAGCTTGATTCTTCAGGGAGCTGAGCCATGGCGGTTTCCCGTTAGTTTAGAAGGTTCCTACCAGTGTTCAGATCAACTCCAGTGAGCTGCCCCGATTCCGCGTGCTCCGTCTGGACCTTCACCAGCGTTTCCTGGGGATCGTAGCCAGAGTTCTGGGCGAGAACCTTTGAGAGAACAGAGACGTTATTTCGTGCTGTTAATTACGAGACCCCCAGCAGGGAAAGCGATGGGTCTCAGCGTGCTTTGAAGCCGCTCTATCCAGGAGCTCCTCATACCTTGGGAATGATGAGCAGAGCGTCTGCGAAAGCCTGAACCCCCAGCTGGGCTCTTCCTTTGACGTTCGGTTTATGCTTAACAAGAGCATTGGCCACTGCCACTTCTAGAGCACCGGCCCCAGGGACCACACATCCTGCAAGGGAGAACTCGGTATTGAGATGGCGCAATAAGCGCTATTCCAATTTAAACAGTTAATTTTTAGTCTAGTTTGATCTCTGCCCTCGCCCTTAAGAGGACAGCTTGTACCTGACCAGTAGGTACCTGCACAGTTATCAACCACTTGCAAAATACGGGGTGCAAGAACAGTAACTAAAAGCACTTTGCACTGGATACACTCAGCTTGGTGCCCGACTGCTGCAGACACCACGGAAGCTGATGCAACAGTCACTAATTTGGGGATGAGTTTCAACAGAAGACCCTTCACATCGCTCAACGGAGCGGAGACTTACCATCCTCGATAGCGTTCTTAACAGCACGCAGACCATCTCTTACGGCATCCTTGATCTGTGTCAGCGTATGCTTGTTCGGCCCCCGGATCAACAGGGTAACAGAGCGGGGGTTGTCACATTTCTCAATGAAGGTGTATTTCTCTTCGCCCTGTAGAGCAGGGTTACGCGTTCGTGTCATACATCTGCTTAATCAACGTGTATGTGTAATAAAAAAAAACCTGAACAGACACTTTCAGGTTCAGTTCTGCACTAACAGCACTTCAAGAAGTGATGAGAAGCAGCAGAACCTTCTTTCCGTTGTCTCAGTTTTACAGATATTAAAAGCATAGTATGGAAACGACAGCAGGAAAACACACCGCAACAAGAGCAAATACGCAGGTAGATGCTCACATCCAAGTGCACGCCGGGCCGTGAAATGCCACCAGCCTTTATTCATGCTCGCGCGTAGCTCTCAGAGCACTTCAGAGAAATCCACGCACGGACATACCAAGGCAAAGGAAAGCTGGCGCCAAGCGAGATCGGCCCGGGCGTATTTAGCCCGGCTTCGGCCGAGAGCTCGGTGTACTCACCAGCGTATACTCGTAGACGAGCCCTGCGTGTCCCAGACAGTCAGGAGTGAGATCCTCCACAGAGTTCATGGCAGTACCGCCGCACGCAAGGGTCAGCCTGGGAGAGGGTAAGAGGGTAAGCCTGGCAGCTTAGCACTTGCTTCGTATTAAGTAAAACCTGAAGTCACTGACGTAACAACAGTATTTCAGCACGCCGACCACCACGCTGGTTACGTGGAAGGCTTGGAACAGCTTGCTTCTGTTCATGAAAGAACTCTTCACAAAAACAAGCCTGTAGAAGGAAGTCTCCTCTACAGGTTTAAAGCATATTGACAGCTTAAATTCCTACATCACTCCGCATGCCCAAGTGACATTTCTGTGGTTTGTAAAACCACCCCGATACAGCAGTAAGAGCCGGACAGACCAAAGGGGACTTTTAGTGCAAGTCCTTGAAGGTGGATTCAAGGCAGACTTGGCCTGAGTTTGGAAGAGCAAGTTATTTTACCCCCTCCTCTCCCCAGGAACTGACCTTTCCATGTTCCTCCTTTTAGCTCTCCGCAAAGCAACTATTCCTTCTTTCGCAAGTGCATCCAAGGAAAACGGGTCAATTCCCTAGAAACAAAGGAAGTGGCCATCAGGATAAAGAAAAAGCTAAAAACACCCTCTCTCAGCCTGACGCTAATGGGTAAGTTCTTCCTCAGGGCTCAAAGAAGATCTCAAACAGGAACTGTAGGCACACATTCAAAAGTTCAGCCTAAAAATGTAGCTATTTCTGGCTGAAGAACTGTACAAAGCGAGTCAAACCGCACACGGCTTGCCAAGAAAGCCAGCATTCCCAATTCAGTTTTGTAGTGAGTTATGCCCTTCATCTCACCTTCTGGTTGATCACAATAAAGCCTTTATCTGAATCGCCACAGACTCTTCGTTTCAAGTCTATGATTTTGTTCACTCTGTCTTCAATGAACTTTCTTTCTGCTTTCACTAGCTTCTCTCTCTCTTCAGCACTTTTATAGAAGAATCCAGAGCTCACCTCTCTGCGGGAGGGGAACAAAAAATAAAGGCAGTAAGAAAACTATCCTCTCTGCTGTAGAAATCAACTTAAGCATAAGGAATCAATCCTTTCAGCAACATTCTGAAGAAATCAGACAAACCAAACGAGACCCCCCACCCAAACCAGCGTGCAAGGTACAGCTGTCCCTGCTCTCTAGTTCAGAGCTTTTCCATTGCAAGAAAGAAGGCACGCATCTGAAACGGAGCGAGCTCCGGAGGATACTTACATGTTGGCTCTGCCATATAAAATTATGCCCAAGAAAGGACGGACTTCCAGCCTTTTTTTCAATGAAACCACAAAATAAAAACCACTGCGAAGCTCTGCCTCTCAAAGACATTTTCTCAGCCACTGGCTTCCCTTTTCCAAAAAAGGGCTGCAAAAGGAGCGTCACCTCTTCCATTCCACCTTCCGCACTGCCTGCCTGGCTCCAGAGGAGTCTATGCACTCCTTTCGGTTCTTACTTAAGCACACCTTAAATACAAGTCTTCTAAGACATGAGCGTTTTCTGCTCTTCACCTTGTTGCTGTGTACTTACGTTTTCTCATATTCTAGGGATACGTTGCAAGTAAGAACATAAGCATCTTCCACTCTTTTCTTCATGTCAGGGTGACGAGCGCCGTGATCCAAAACCAGCCCCCTAATCAGCCTGGAAGATTAAAAAGCATGTCGTGTGTCAGCATACTCATACAGAAGATACGCGCTTCGTGGAAGCAGGGAGCAGTCAGAACTGACAGCGCGACTGGTCAAACATGAGCTGCCCGTGCGCCTGTGTTGGGAGTAAACAACGATCGTGTATCCCACTTCCAAGGGCATGCCCATTCTCATATAAAAAGCATGCCAATCGGAGTGCGAAAAAGGAATTTATTCTGGCATAGTGTCTGACTGCATTAGCTACTGCAGAAAGCTAGTGCAGAATTCGCCCATGCCCCTGAGGTAAATATAAAGCCTACGGAATATCCGCTGATGACCACAATCCAGCTTCCATTTATCGAATGCTATTTTGTACTTGTAATGAACAGATACCAGCCTAAAGCAAGCACTATTACTAAGAAAAAAAAGTATTTATTCAATATGGTTATGTAAAAACCTAAGCCAGTGCTACTCTGCTATTCAAAAACCTCTTGTCAGGGAATCAAGTTCAGTGACCGGGGGACTTCTGCTGCCTACATCGTTTATGGCTGAAGTCTGTCTTTCTGCCCCTTCCCTAATCACTTTTCCAGGGGGAGCTTTAGGACACCCAAGTTCTAAAAAGAAAACAAAACCGCACGGACTACTCAAACATCAGGGCACCATTAAACCGAAGCTCAAGGCTACGCATTACTTACGTTGTGTCAGTTTCTGATTTGTGCTTCATCTCCATGATCTCCACCATGTGGAGGTCAATAGGCTCATCTGGTTTCCTGACTGTCAAAACGGAATCTACTACAGCCTGGAAGAGAGGGGAGGGAAAAAAAGCCCCAAAAGGACCATAAGTCTTCCGAAGTGCAAGGTGACATCTTTCCATCCACCCTTCACTCAAGTAATAATCACAGCACTTTAAAACCTGGACCTCTTCACACAAAAAGAGGCAGAAGAGGGACAGGCACTTACCTCCGTTAGGATGTCAGCAAGCTCGGTGTGAACTTTAGTACGGAGGGATGTTCTGGCAACATCTATAAGGGTCTCCCTGTCCATTTCCTTGGTTACTTTGACCTGCTCCAAAACTTCAAGTGCTTTTTCCTTTGCAATCTCAAATCCTTCTGCTACTATTCTAGGGTGCAAACCCTAATGCGAGGAAAGAAGGGAAATCATTAGACAATAGAAGACAAAATGGTACCTTTTCACAAACAGATCCTGTGGTTTCAACATCCCATGTAACGTCACAACATAGGGAATATGCATCCTACAAGAAAATGTACTGTCCTTCTGAATACATATAAAAGGAATGCAAATCCTTCCAATGCAGAGGAAAAGCACAGCTTATTCTAGCACAGAATTGAAACCAAGGGAACTACAAAGCACACTTGGGTGTTCACTGTGCAATACGAATGCCTGCTCTGTACCTTATAGTATCCAAAATACCTAACGTCAGGGAGGATCTCCTTGTTAACGTACAAGTAAAAGGAGTGATTTAACTCACACAAAACAGACAGAAGTAACAGCAGGTATCAGAGAAAACCTTACTAAAAGCTACAGTATCCACAATAAGCAGTTTTGATTTTGAACAAGTCTTAAGTCCTCTCCAGCTTTTCCCCATTTTACAAGTTCTGTGATGCACTCATTTTAAGCAGAAATATATATTCATTTTCATGTTTGACTTATGAGCATTAAGCATTAAACACAAACAAGCTGAACGGTCTCAGATGAAGCTTTTACCTTGTCCACCTCCCGAAGAAACACTGCATACGTACCTCAGAAATATAGAGATCTGCCTGCTTTAGGAGCTCTCCAATGATCAAGACATTTGACGTGGTACCATCTCCAGTGATGTCATCTTGCGCTGTCGCTACTTTTGCTATCAAGGAGGCTGTGGGGTGTTGTATTTGCTAAACAAAAGTAAGAAGCTGAGCGGTAAGTCTTACTGCACTGGTACAGGAAGCAAGCAATCTGAAATCAGCTAAACAAAATATTTACGGACTAGCTGATGTTTTCATGATTCACCTCAATTTAGCAGGTTTCAACACATAACACCAATTACCAACAATGATCTCTTTGACAATAGGTTGACTGAATTAATCCACGTAACGCTACTTCCCCCCTCAGATTACGCATCTATACACAAACACGTTGAGAGCCAAAGTAGTCCTCAACTCATTATGAACCTGACAGAGCCCTTTTCTCCTGTAGGCAAAGGATTCACCATCACAACTGGACCGTGGTGGGCACTAAAACCAGCATGCTTAGAGCTAATTTAGGAATCTCTGCACGACCAGTGCTGTACATCCCCTCACTGGTTTGCTGTTTCTTTGGCAGTTTATTTTACTCATTCTCATGAAACCAAAGAACATTCAACTAGTTTGTTGCTTGTCAGTTCCTCTGCTAAGGAGTACATTTGGTGTTCCGGCTATGAACGTCATTCCTGTCTGCCCAAACTTCACAACCACCACACATGACCTTATGCTACTTACACAAGTCAGCCTTTTAATTTAAGGAACATGCACATCACTTAGCACCTCCAACGGCTGACTGAAGAGTATTTTAACACAGGTTGAAGCCTATGAACCTACAGAACAGTACCCCCATTTGAAGGGGTTGGTGCTTGGTAACTGTACTAGAGTGAGATAAAATCAAATGGGACCATTCATACTGTCGTTTAGCTTTTTACCATTATTTTTTAAAGCACTACCTCTAGTGTGAAGGAACCGATGTAATTAATTTTTCCTGTTTGCCAGACCACCGTGTATATTAACTTAGACACTTTATGCTGAATTACAAGAGCCGGCCAGTGGAGTGAAATGCTCCAGGCACGGGCTGTGCCCACCCGGGGGACGGGGGCACGCTGCAACCCGACAGCCCCAGGACCCAGGGCCCACGGGTGGGCCCGGCCACGCCACCGGCTCCCAGCACAGGACAGCCTGCGGGGTGACATCACCCCACGTGTAACCTTCACCCCTACGTGGGGAACTGGGATACAACCCCAGTTGTATCGGCGGGGAGGCGACAAGGGGCGGACTCCTCACCCCGATTTAAAAAAACCATCCATCACCCAGATTTAAACACTTTCCACGCCCACTAAGAACTCATGGAGAACTCTGCTGCCTGAGGCCTGCTCAAGTACGACAGAAGCACGTGTTCCGTAAGCGGAAGAGAAGGCGACAAAAATGCCCATTATTTAAACAGCTTATGCTTCCTTTTTAATCGCCAAATTGGCAAGCACACTTTATTCAGCATCTGCCAAGCTGCACTTATTTACCTTCCTCCCAAGGGAGGGTTTCCCCCCAACGCACAGGGCTAAGTGCCCCAGCAGCGCAGGGGGGGCAGCAGGGGACGCGGCCCCCTCCGCCTCCGGCACCCTGAGGGAACACGAGCGGGCTCCGGCTCCCCACGTCCCCCCACGGCTGCCCAAGGTCCCCAGCCCCCCGAGGCCCGGCTCACCATTTCCTGCAGCAGCACGTTGCCATCTTTGGTCAGCTTGATGTCTCCAGCCCCCGAC